ACACGAGTTCATACAAGTATATTATTGTATGCACTTTATTGTCTCGAAAGTATTCCGGTTATGGTTGATTCCTTTTTATAACCTTTGAGTTGTTCGTTGCATTTTATTCTATTTACTTGTTGTTCTGTGAACTGAAATTTTCTGAATAAGTACAGCGAAACACACCCACCCACACACACACCACAAGTTACATTGATTATTCGTAAACAGTCCAGTGCTTTTGTGTATACGAGGTGTCTGTATTGATTATTTTGTGTTATATTAGCAGTGAATTTGGGTATAGAGGGAGAATATGAGTAATTCCATAGGGAATAACTTGCTGCACCAGGGATTCCTTACCTCAACAGTGTTGGAACATAAAAGTAGAATCAGTTCTGCTTGTGTTGGAGGCAACTCTTTGTTTCAACAGCAAGTGATCTCCCAATCGCCTTTATCAACTGAATTTCGAGGTAACAGGTTAAAGGTGCAGAAAAGTAAAATACCTATGGGAAAGCAGCGTNATAAAATACCTATGGGAAAACAGCGTCCTATTTCTAGTTCTCCTCAGGCTGTACTAACCACTGATGCCTCTTCTGAGGTAAATGCTGAACCTACACACTTACCTGTTTGACAACATCTGATTTTTCTATAGTAGTTACCAACTCTATTTGGTCATCAATTGGAGAATATTCTCTCTCTTATTATTGTACTGTTAGCCTGTTGCTTGGATGTTTTGTTCATTCATTTACCGCGAAAAAATATTGGTCGTTCGCTTCTTTTTCTGATTTATTCTGCGTGGTGCCTAGAAATTGACATCTTACCTCTTTCTCATAGTTTGCCGCTGCAATGCAAACACTGGTATCTGAGGAACTATGTGTAAATGCTGATAATGCCTATGAGATCACTTGAACTTGTCTTTTTTCTTGTTTCTTTTATCCTCAAATTTTAGCTTTTATTCCTGCATCATATTTGTTGATGGAGTAGGACTCTCCTTGAAGATCAGTTGCTATGACAAAGAATTCTTCTAAAAGCAAATCATGATCGAGAATAGATGTCTAATTTTTTCTGTCAGTGCTACCATGGATAGCCAATAAAACTAGAGTTCGAGATGGGAAACAAACACTGGGTAGTTTGTGTATTGTGGGAATTTAATTGAGGGGAAAAGAAAAGATAAATGTCATTTATTGCTAAATATAAAGAGCACAAGAATTAGATCTCAGCATCCATGGTATTTAGTTACCTATGCAAATATCTTTGTAATATTCCCTATTTTAAATGTTTTTTCTTTTGAACAGCTTGCAGAAAAGTTCAGCCTAGAAGGGAATATTGAGCTACAGGTACACAAGTGTGATATTACTCTGGCAAAATAAATTTATATTCTGACTTGCTTGTAAAAAAGGAGCCTATATGTCTCATGATGGTTATGCAAATTTGTTTCTGCACTTTAACAGGTTGATGTTAGGCCTCCCACTTCAGGTGACGTGTCCTTTGTGGATTTCCAAGTTACAAATGGCAGTGATAAAATGTTTTTGCACTGGGGGGCAGTAAAGTTCGGGAAAGAGTAAGTTCAGTTGCAAATTGGATCGTCATCATGTTGAGAAATCTTAAGCTTGTGACAACTAATCGTCCTTGTACTATTCTCTATATGATTATCTTAGAACATGGTCTCTTCCTAACGATCGTCCAGATGGAACCAAAGTGTACAAGAACAAAGCACTTAGAACTCCTTTTGTTAAAGTAAGTTGGAAATGGTCTCGCAGCTCTATTTGATGGATTAAGCTATGATAAAAAATTGATGACTTTATTGTTGATTTAGGCTGGCTCTAACTCCATCCTGAGACTGGAGATACGGGACGCTGCTATAGAAGCTATAGAGTTTCTCATATACGATGAAGCCCTAGATAAATGGTAAATGAGTATGTTTGTGAAAGAACAAAGCATTTTGATTAAAGCGCTGCATGGATTTCATTCTCTTTCTTCTTCAGGATAAAGAATAATGGTGGTAATTTTCGTGTCAAATTTTCAAGAAAAGAGACACGAGGCCCTGATGTTTCAGTTCCTGAGGAGCTTGTGCAGATCCAAGCATATTTGAGGTGGGAGAGGAAGGGAAAACAGAATTACACCCCTGAGCAAGAAAAGGCAAGTAACTTATTCCTTTAGTCCTAGACCTTTCTGGCGCACTCGTACTGCAAATTGTTCGCATCTCCAAAATCATAAGTTAGTTGATCATTCAAGCTGATCTTAAATTTCGAGCTTTTGTTTTCTGCCGAAATCTGAGCATTAGATATATTGGCATATATTGCAATTCTCAACCGTAGTTGAGGATTTCTATGGAATTTAGTGTCTACTATAATCCTGTGCATTCCTATGCATGAACATAAATAACAGCTTGATCTTCTTTGTAGTTATTTACATGCTTTCTCAGAATATGTGGTTGTTTAATTCATGGATAGGAAGCGATGGGACTATTGTTGCTCCCTGTTGCAGAGAGAAGAAGACTCTTATTAAGGGGTCAAGGGACTTGGCTTCTAATCTCCATCTCTCCCATGCTAGATAGCATGGTTGGTTTTAGGGAAAATTTACGTACAAGACTAGCGGTGGCTCAAGTCTACCACGATGTTGTAGTTTTAGTTTAAAAAATGCTAGTCTTAGAGTCAATGATTAGGCTTGAAATTTTAATCAAGTACAATCAGTAAGCCAACTTAACATGAACTCAGAGTTTTTCTATGAATAACCAGTTATTTTTTTCCTTTCCCATTTTTAAGGATAAGAAGGCATTATTATTATCCAGTGGATGCATATAAAATTTACAGAATGTATAGTCCCTTACTAAAAGCCAGGAAGTAGGAAACTGTAAAGTCTGTATTATCTATACAAGTAAAACTACACTAGAAAGAAACAAGTTGCAAAGAAGAGTAATTCACATTGTGTAATGAATTTCTCCCTACTTAAAAATATCCAATGTTTCGCTCTGTCCAGGTGACCCACAGAGCACAAAGAGGTATTATATTCCAAATACATTTTTTTTTTTTTTTTTTTTTTTTTTTTTTTGAGAATGGTAACAAGAAAAGAATCGTGGTGTGAGAGAGGCACGAACTCTGTTGTTGATTCTTTTTCCTCTCCTCCATTGCCAACTGAACAAGAATTGTTTCGGAGATTTTGGCATCACCCAAGACCCAAAATATGGTCAGTGGCATGCATTGAACTGCTACAGCACAAAGCTAATGCAACACTAGAAGCAAAACAAAATAGAAAATATGTCAGCTATGTGCCTAGGGGTGGGCTGAGGGAAGAGTAGGGAAGGGAGCAAATAAGGAAGGAGTAGAATAACCCACTTATTCCAAGGGATACCACTATCCCTTTCCCTAAGAATGACATAAAAAAAGCCTTTAGTTAATTTCATGCTTAGGAGATAAGCAAAAGTTTCTCTTAACACCCCTCCCCCCCCCCCCCCCCNAATATCTCGGCTGTGTGCCTAGGGGTTGGGGCGAGGGAAGAGTTGGGAAAGAGGCAGAAATTAAAACAGAAAACTGAAAACCAAAAGAAACAGAGTGAGACAGGTGCAAAGGGAGGCCAGGGGAGGAAAGGGATAGTGAAGGACAAGGGGAGATGCAACACGGAAATAAGCAACGAGGAGAGCACCACTCATTTGTGCACCAAACAACACTTACCTAATCAAGACAATGATGGTTGATATACAGTAACTGGGAGAAACACTCAGTTGTGCTTAAAGGGATGTTATGTTTGTTCGTTCTCAACTGTATGCTTTTCAAGCTCTAAATTCTAATCATGTTGCTGGTACTCATATATTTCTTTCTTTATTTGAGATTTCCTAACCCACTGTTGTTAGACATTTTTGCTGTTAACTTAGTTACTGATACTATTTGTTGTGCATTTCAGGAGGAATACGAGGCTTCTCGAACTGAGCTACAGGAGGAAATAGCTCGTGGTGCTTCCATACAGGATATTCGAGCCAGGCTAACAAAAACTAATGATAAAGGTAAAACCAAAGAAGAGCCTCTTCCTGTAACAAAGAGTGATATACCCGATGACCTTGCCCAAATACAAGCTTACATTAGGTGGGAGAAAGCAGGAAAGCCGAACTATCCTCCCGAAAAGCAAATTGTAAATTCTGAACCCTTCATACAGTTTATGTAGGCTGTGTACATCTTCCAGCGCATAAAATCTAGGTATGCTGTCTTCTATTGATGTGAAAGTTTGATCAAATACTGTTTTATTAACAGGAAGAACTTGAAGAATCAAGAAGAGAACTGCAACTTGAGCTTGAGAAAGGCATTACCCTTGATGAGTTGCGGAAAAAGATAACAAAAGGGGAGATAAAAACTAAGGTGGCCAAGCACCTGAAAAGAAGTTATTCTACCGCTGAAAGAATCCAAAGAAAGAAGAGAGACTTTGGGCAGCTTATTAATAAGTATCCTTCCAGTCCTGCAGTACAAGTACAAAAGGTCTTGGAAGAACCACCAGCCTTATCTAAAATTAAGCTTTATGCCAAGGAAAAGGAGGAGCAGGTTGATGATCCAGTCGTAAATAAAAAGATATTAAAGGTTGATGATGGGGAGCTACTGGTGAGTGCTAACTTATTATGGACTGTAACCACAAAAGCTACGTTGAATGCACATTCTGAAATCTTCCATTGTCTCTACGTTTTAAGGTACTGGTAGCAAAGTCCTCTGGGAAGATAAAAGTACATCTAGCTACAGACGTAAATCAGCCAATTACTCTTCACTGGGCATTATCCAAAAGTCCTGGAGAGTGGATGGTAAGAATCAACAAAATTGTACCCATTTTGCAATGAAAGAAGGAAAGAAGTAATATGTAAAACCTTCCTATGTCCTACCAATATTATGTAATCAGTGACCATTTTACATTTTCAGGCACCACCTTCAATTATATTGCCTCCTGGGTCAGTTATTTTAGACAAGGCTGCTGAAACACCTTTTTCAGCCTGTTCTTCTGATGGTCTAACTTCTAAGGTGTGTGAAACGAATAGCTCCTATAACTGATTGTATTAAAGATTCAAAAAGGAAAAGAAAGAGAAGTAAAACCTTTTTGTTCACTGCCAATATTGTGTAATCAATTACATTTCCAGGCACCACCTTCGAATACGTCACCTGGATCCAGTATATTAGACAAGGGTTTGGAAATCCCTATTTCAGCCAGTTCTTCTGATGTTATAACTTCTATGGTATACCAAATAAATTCCTTAGATGATATAAACTAACCGACCGTGGGCTAATTATATAGTTCATTCAACGGAATCAATTTTTCAGGTCCAATCTTTGGATATAGTAATTGAAGATGACGACTTCGTGGGGATGCCATTTGTTCTTTTATCTGGTGGAAGATGGATTAAAAACCAAGGGTCGGACTTCTATGTTGACTTTGGTTCTGCATCTAAACCAGCTCTCAAGGTCTCTTTGCTTCCTAATATCTTCAAATGTTACTTGTTATACAAGTTGGATTTGACATTTTGGTATTTTCTCCGTTATCTGTTTCATTGTTTTTGAAATGGAGTATCTCAATTTTTCCCATTAGGCTGCTGGGGATGGCAGTGGAACTGCAAAATCTTTACTGGATAAAATAGCAGATATGGAAAGTGAGGCTCAGAAGTCATTTATGCACCGGTTAGCAGATCTCTTTTTGGCTTCCATCTCTGACCTGAGGCTCTTTACTTTTTTCTGTGTTTCAATTTCAAGCTCTTAACCTTTTTATCATAGTATTGGGAATTTCTGATATTCAATCCAGATGAATGAGTGGGGTTGTAATAGATGAACGACCAGGGTAAAATTAGTTTAGTTATGATGAATCCTCTTGATACTGGAACTGAAAAGAGCGAATGGATACGGAGCATTCATATAGCATAGTTGATTGATTGAGGGTTTGTCTATATTCTTGCTTTACTTTTAAAGATAGGTGTTCACTGAATGTTTCCAATTTGGCATTTCCTGACGATATTTTGCGAACATATTTATCCTTATTTGCATATTATAGGACCCAGTACTGGCGAAGATACCTGGTACTTGTTATGGGGGGAGGTTGCAGGTACCCGGTGGATTTAGTCAAGGTGCGCGCAAGCTGGCCCGAACACCACATTGTTATAAAAAAAAAAAAAATCAGTTTGTAACTTGGCAGCCTGCGTTGTCTGGTTTTCTTTCATTCATGATTGCTGGTTTGGTCATCAACTGTTGTGCTGAGTTTTAACCTCATGTCATTTTTTACTTTCAACAGGTTTAATATTGCAGGTGACTTGATTGAAGAAGCCACTGGTGCTGGTGAACTTGGTTTTGCTGGAATTCTTGTGTGGATGAGATTCATGGCTACAAGGCAGCTGATCTGGAACAAAAACTATAACGTCAAACCACGGTACATCTTATATCTACAACTATATGTACTTTTTTTATCCTCGAACTTAGGTTCTTGTCCTCCATTATAATGCCAACGTATTGAAGTATGAGTCTCAAATTCTCTCATTAATCTTGTTCTTTGTATTCAGACAAGTTGCTGATTCATTTTGCTGTAAGTGCCAAGCATCCAATTTGACTGTTCCTTATGTCTTTGTTGTTACAGTGAAATAAGTAAAGCTCAGGACAGGCTTACAGACTTGTTGCAGAATGCTTTCACCAATCACCCTCAGTACCGTGAAATTTTGCGGATGATTATGTCAACTGTTGGACGTGGAGGTGAAGGAGACGTAGGACAGCGAATTAGGGATGAAATTTTGGTCATCCAGGTTCATCTATATTTTCATCTTTCCTCTGGCCTTTTAGTGAAGGACACGTCGATAAGAGATCTTTTCTAATTTCAGAGGAAAAATGACTGCAAGGGTGGCATGATGGAAGAATGGCATCAGAAGCTGCATAACAACACTAGTCCTGATGATGTTGTGATCTGTCAGGTATTGAGATGCAAAGCTATAATTGATGAAAACTTTTTGCTCAGAAGTAGTTTAATAATGTACTCTTTTTGCAGGCATTGATTGACTATATCAAGAGTGACTTTGATATTGGTGTTTATTGGAAAACCCTGAATGACAACGGAATAAACAAAGAGCGTCTTTTGAGTTATGACCGTGCTATCCATTCTGAACCAAATTTTAGAAGAGATCAAAAGGAGGGTCTTTTGCGTGATTTAGGTCACTATATGAGAACACTGAAGGTTGATAACACTATCCCTTTTCTTGGCTTTCTTCTCTTCATCTTGTTTGTATCTATGAAGTGGCTGATGCCTTGTTTGGGAGTTTTGATAACTGGATGTTGTTGCCCCTTCTTCTTTTCTTTATTTTGTCCTTTTTGCATCTATATGTGAATTCAGTCATAAATTAGGTATTAGACACTGACAATATATAGTTGTATCCTTTTTGTGCCACTTCAACGTATCTGTCTGACTAGTATTGCCCTGGCTAGGGTTGAGGTTTATCTCTGTCCTTTTAGACTATGTGAATATGCCCATCTATGCCTGCTTATGTTAAACTATTATGGGACTTCAGACTGTTATTTGAAGTAAATAATCTAATGATGTAACGTCAGACCAATATATGTTTTGATAGGAAAGAAATAATTAAGTACTGAACAAATAAAGCTGACATAGAAACTAATTGTTCCTAAAGAGGTGTAATTCTCTTTATCTTGAGGATACTTGTGTACTGGGACAATGTTACTTAAAAACGTGTTCTCAGTGGTGTCCCTTTAATTTGAGATGGCTTAGGTGTTACCTCCTAAGATCATTTCTATATAACTTGAAGACCTCAGTTTAATGGTGAGCCATTTGCAGGCTGTTCATTCAGGTGCAGATCTTGAGTCTGCTATTGCAAACTGCATGGGCTACAGAACTGAGGTAATGGTGTCTATATGAAACTTAGTCATTCTACTTCGTAACTTTCGTCTTAGATAGTACTTGGTTGTCATCAGGGAGAAGGCTTTATGGTTGGAGTCCAGATAAATCCTGTATCAGGCTTGCCATCTGGCTTTCAGGTAGTACTTGTGAAGCTGCACCCTATTTGTGTAATTCTAGAACTGATCTGTGTAATATCAATTCTACAAATAGGATCTCCTCCATTTTGTCTTAGACCACGTGGAAGATAAAAATGTGGAAGCTCTTCTTGAGGTAACTCCAACTTTCTTGTATCCTTTTTCATTTGCTTAATACATAATACGTCCCACTAACTTTTATCTCTCTCTGAAATTCTTGTGTGTGTAGGGATTGCTAGAGGCTCGTGAGGAGCTTAGGCCTTTGCTTTTCAAACCAAACAACCGTCTAAAGGATCTGTTGTTTTTGGACATAGCCCTTGATTCTACAGTTAGGACAGCGGTAGAAAGGGGATATGAAGAATTGAATAATGCTAATCCTGAGGTATGTTATCTTAGATGTTTCTGAGTCTTTGAATCAAGTGTCTTTGTCTAAATGTGTTTTATTTATTTCAAAGCTCAGATTTGTATTCTTCATGGCCATGTTACTTTTTTCACAGAAAATCATGTACTTCATCTCCCTTGTTCTTGAAAATCTCGCACTCTCAGTGGACGATAATGAAGATCTAGTTTATTGCTTGAAGGTAATTATAACTACTTTAGTGTGCTACTGTTGTTCCATTCACTGGATGCACTGGTTCTCAAGTATATTCTTGAGATAGATATAAAAAAAATGTGTAGCAACCTAGTATTCTTAGGTTTGAGCTGCTATTCTTTTGAGCAGAAAAAAGAAATTAAGATCATTGAAAAGTTTCATTACATCCTGCACAAAAGTTTAATTACAAAGCTCTGTTGAGTGATATATCTTTTTCTATACAAAGGGATGGAATCAAGCTCTTTCAATGTCCAAGGATGGAGACAACCATTGGGCTTTATTTGCAAAAGCTGTGCTTGACAGAACCCGTCTTGCACTTGCAAGCAAAGCCGAGTGGTACCATCACTTGTTGCAGCCATCTGCAGAATATCTAGGATCAACACTTGGGGTGGACCAATGGGCTGTATGTTTTCTTTCACTCAAAACATTATTTACACATTCAGCACCGAATTATCATAGTAATTTATCTCTGTGACTATTGGATGCAGTTGAACATATTTACGGAAGAAATTATACGTGCTGGATCAGCAGCTTCATTATCCTCACTTCTTAATAGACTTGATCCTGTGCTTCGGAAAACTGCAAATCTAGGAAGGTTGTTAGATTTTTATACCTCTATATGCTCTAAGATATTGCTAATAGCATGTTAAGAATATGTGTACTCCTATGAACTGCTTACTAGTCTCAAGAAACTCTCGTCCTCTTATCACAGTTGGCAGATTATCAGCCCAGTTGAAGCCGTTGGATATGTTGTTGTTGTGGATGAGTTGCTTTCAGTTCAGAATAAAACCTACAAGAATCCCACGATCTTAGTAGCAAAATCTGTTAAAGGAGAGGAGGAAATTCCTGATGGTGCTGTTGCCCTGATAACACCAGACATGCCAGATGTTCTTTCACATGTTTCTGTTCGAGCAAGAAATGGGAAGGTAGTTTCTTCTATTGAAAATTGTCTAGAGTGTTGAATAAGATTATGATGTATGTATTATTGAAGGAAACTTTTTGTTAGGTTTGCTTTGCTACATGTTTTGATCCCAATATATTGGCTGACCTCCAAGCAAAGGAAGGAAGGATTTTGCTCTTAAAGCCTACACCTTCAGACATAATCTATAGGTAAACTCAATTATTTGTAAGAGTCTTGCTCAAAACCTTATTAGCTATTTGGAATTTCAAACAAATATTTCTTTGACCACGAATTTCTCAAGTAAACTTTTAGCTTGTTTTAATCATAAAATTTGTGCCTAACACGGTTTTATAATGTAGCTCTTGAAGTTCTAAATTTTGTTTTGGGAAAAATGAATATACTCGTGAACCAAAATCAAGTTTGTCTGTCATAGGAAATACTTTTTGTTTTGTGCGCAATTCATTTCCGTCTAAAGTGCAAGAAATATATGAGTGGCAGTTTAACAGTTATCACTCTTTTCCTTTTTATCTGGTTTTGCTTTTGGCATCTAATAGTGAGGTGAACGAGATTGAGCTCCAAAGTTCAAGTAACTTGGTAGAAGCTGAAACTTCAGCAACACTTAAGTTGGTGAGAAAGCAATTCGGTGGTCGTTACGCAATATCATCTGATGAATTCACGAGTGAAATGGTGAGGTTTGCAATATTGACTGTGATTTGAAAACTATACTGTTTTCCCCTCTTTTTCTGTTGACCTAAGTGATAGAAGCTGCTGATCGTTGATTCTGGAAACACTCCAGTGATATTTCTCTAATTTGTCTGATAATGATTTATCTAGGTTGGAGCTAAATCCCGTAATATAGCATATCTGAAAGGGAAAGTGCCTTCCTGGGTGGGAATTCCTACTTCTGTGGCTCTTCCATTTGGAGTCTTTGAGAAAGTACTTTCAGACGAGATAAATCAGGTTCGTTTCCATCTACTTATCAAAAACAATATCAGCTTCGTTTACATTAATATTTCCACTTGTTTGTTTTACAGATACCCTCCGCGCTGCTTTTTATTGCTGCTCTTGCTGTGCTATAACATTTTTCTCCCTCAACAAACTTCTATTTCCATCATTGTAATAAGAACTAAGTTCTAGGAACATCAACACCCATAAAAAAGAAGAGATATCAAAAAATCTATAGTAAATATCTTTTCATGTTAGGACTCAAGGGTGTGGTCTAGTGGTCAATGAAGTAGGTTGAGACCGTCTATGGTTCAAATCCTAGCGAAGGCAAACCACTAGGTGACTTCTGCCCATTTATCTAAGTCTTGGTGGATAGAGTTACCTGTTACCTCTCGGTGGTGGGAGGTAGCAAGTATCCATTGAATTAGTCGAGGTGTGTGCAAGCTGGACCGGGCACCATGACTATAAAAAATAAAAAAAAGGAACTTTTTTTGTTATCATAACAAAGAAAATAAAACTGTTTTTGGTAATGTACAACTTGTTTCCTGGATAATTGGATCTTTAAGGAGGAGGAGGAGGAATCTTAATTTGGAACTGCTCAAGGAATCTTCTGATTGAAATGAAAATTTGTTTCATTTATTAAAGAAAAAGAAGGGGAAGAAGAAAGAGAAAAGAAGAAAAGGGAAAGAAATATAAAACAAAGAAAATATAATCATTTTTGGTAATTGTACAATCTTTTTTGGATCTTTAAGACGGAGGAGGACAGTGATGCTGACGATGATATTAAAGAGAAGGAAAATAAAGATCATTTTCTGTTATCACAACAAAGAAATGAAAATCGTTTTTTGGTAATTGTACAATTTGTTTCCTGGATCATGGGATCTTTACTTTACAATGTGACGTTTGAGATGGGTCTCTCATCGCTCTCTCTCTCTGCCTTTCTCTCTGTTGCTTTATGTGTTTCTGAGAATGATACCAATTGATGGAACTGTTTCTAAAAATTCACAGGGAGTGGTGAACAAGTTGCAAATTCTGACGAAAAAACTATCTGAAGGAGAGTTCAGTGCTCTCGGTGAAATTCGCAGAACTGTTTTAGAACTTTTAGCGCCAGCTCAATTGGTATCTTCGTCTATTCTCTTTGTTTCTGATATATTATGCCTTAATGTAACTTACTGAAACTTTTTTAGGTGAGACAACATTTGGGTTCTCTAATAATCATCCTCCCAAGCAAGCGAAGTTTTTTCTTTTGATTCAATCCTTTCAGACGTGTTTATTAGTTTTAATAGAAACTCACGACCAGTGTAGTAGATACCTTGATAAGTTTTCCAGGGGCATCCGTATATACTACATCAGAGAAGATTGACATCTTTGGCCAACTCACTTGTCATCATGTTTTTATAGATCAACGAGCTGAAAGAGAAGATGCAGGGTTCTGGCATGCCTTGGCCTGGTGATGAAGGTCCAAAGCGGTGGGAACAAGCATGGATGGCCATAAAAAAGGTAAACCTTCTGTAGCATTCCTTAACATCAGTAAGTCTGTTGGTCAAATCTTACTGTGACGAGGAGCCGGCTATAAACAGATAGTAATATTTTACGTACAAGCCTCTTTTTGGTCAATGATTTTGTCAAGGATGACTTCATTCTTGGAGTGCTAGGTGTATCTGGATTTTCAAAGCTTTCAGATATCTGTTGCTTCTTGAAATGCCGATGCCTTGGGAGATTTTGCTTGTTACATTTGATCTTTTCAAGATGCCATTTTCCTTTAAAAAGGAAGCAATTTTTACTCTCTCTCGCCGTTACTTCTCTATTCAGTGGTGGATATGCAATTTCCTTTTTTCTGTTCTCCAGGTGTGGGCTTCAAAATGGAATGAGAGAGCATACTTCAGCACTAGGAAGGTGAAACTGGATCATGACTATCTGTGCATGGCTGTCCTTGTCCAGGAAATAATTAATGCTGATTATGCATTTGTCATTCACACAACCAACCCATCTTCTGGAGACTCCTCAGAAATATATGCCGAGGTAGCATCGGATCAACTGTCCTTTCGTCATACTAATGGTTTTTAGTTCAGCATTCAAAACTTAACTGTGTCCTCACTTAGCAACTGTCCTCTTCCTCAACTTTTCCTTCCTCTGTCTTCCATTGTCTCAACAAGTAACCATATTTCTTAAGGTATATAATTAGTTGAAATTAGCTTGTTCAAGAGGCATAAAAAAGAAATCATTAAAGCATTAGGTCACGGAATATGTTTGTTTTCATAAAGGGCAAAGGATGCTTATATCTCTCCTTCTGGACAGGTGGTCAGGGGCCTTGGAGAAACACTTGTTGGAGCTTATCCAGGCCGTGCTTTGAGTTTTATCTGCAAGAAAAAGGATCTCAACTCTCCTCAAGTGAGTATTGGTGCCTGTTGTCCTCCCAGAGTCACATTTACCTTTTGTAGACCCCTTTATTATCATCCTCCCTTCCACCAAACCTCTGAGTTCATCACTCCAAGAGAGAGGAGAAGATATTTAGTGTCCAAGCAGATGTAGTAAGGGATCCTATTGATGGTAGTTAAATGGGAAAGAGTGAGATTCTCGCCTTTGTTCTGAATCTTCTGATGGATCTAAAAATACTTTCAGGTGTTAGGTTACCCAAGCAAACCAATTGGCCTTTTCATAAAAAGATCTATCATCTTTCGATCTGATTCCAATGGTGAAGATTTGGAAGGTTATGCCGGTGCTGGCCTCTATGACAGGTAACTTTTCTCGGAAGTTTTCAGTCGGTGAATGTTGAAGACGTTACTCAGTTATCATTTCCTTAGTTTTAGGTAGATAAAATAATGCTGCTTTAACTTTTGGAAGTTCATATTTTATGAAGTTTTCAGATTGATGTATGTCTTAAGTTTCTGAAAATTTCATGTTACAAAATTCCCTGGGAGCTAAGACATATTCTCAGGCTTCCAGTCCAAGACAAAGGATCAAGGCGGACGGCGGATCCCGATACTTAGGATAAGATTTAGACATTTGAGAAAGGCTTACGTATAACAAAGCAATAAAGAGAATAAAGAGAATAAAGCAACCTTATATGTAACAGAAGGACAATTAGACTCCTGATCTTTTTCCCCCAAGAGGGCATATGTACTCTGCACATGCTTCAATTTCATAACTGTCCTATCTGTAACAAAATGCTCTGATTTACTCTTTTATAGCATCACTGTGACACCTTCCTTATTGGTCTACTGCAGTGTACCAATGGACGAGGAGGATGAAGTTGTAATTGATTACTCTTCCGACCCATTGATAACTGATGGTAACTTCCGCCAGACAATCCTGTCAAACATTGCTCGTGCAGGAAATGCTATCGAGGAGCTATATGGCTCTCCTCAAGACATCGAGGGTGTAGTGAGGGATGGCAGGATTTATGTTGTTCAGACAAGACCCCAGATGTGATCATATTCAAGTTGTAGTCAGATCTGTGAGAATTACATGTCATGAAGTCGCCTTTATAGTTGTACGTGATCCAAACATGACATCCTGTTTACATTAGCTATTGGGTGAGAACTGAGGAGTAGGCATTGCAATATGAGGAATTATAAGAAAAACTTTGTAAAAACTAATTCGGTATGTTATAGGGAGCAGGTGTAGACATTGTACCATATAAAGTATACATGCGTAATTTATTTGCAAAATGCACTGAATAATATAGCAACAAAGAAGAAATCATTTGGATGGTTCCAATTGTCCCGTTAGCATGTAATGGTGACTTGAATATGCTCTGTCTTGCTTTTTTTTCCTTTTTCTTTTTTGCCAAGTAGTTGACAACGAAAGGCTGAGTTTGGCAACAGTGTTCTCATTCTCTACTTGTCATCCTGCAGTTCGAAATAATCGAACTGCAGCCTCTTGCCTATTTGGCAGTTCCATCTGCAAAATTCCCAGGGGAGAAGTGCACAGATACTCGTTTTTGGTGCCACTGTTTAATTTATACCTTAAGTTTATAAACTTTTGCACGTCTACCCACTTCGGAACTTCTTCTGACTTTGGAACAAAATGTCTGAAGTTTCATTTGGCTGAAGTTTAGACATTTCTGCCTGACTTCAACCATTTTCGCCTAAACTTCATGCATATATGGCTGAAGTTCAACTTCAAACATTTACATTACACCTGATGTTTGAAGTTGGTCCGAAGTGAGTAGATGTGCAAACATTTAAGAAATTGGGTACAAGTTAAATGGGATTTTGGCACCGTGTGACAATGTACCCACATAATTAGCAGATAAAAGCCCTAGTTATAGCTATTGGCACCAAGTAGCCAATAAATGTATATCATAATAATAATGTGTATATCACTATATATATCACAACTTTATTTTCCTTCTTTATGTATATCAAAGTGTATATTAAAATTTTATTTTTCTTCTTTGTATATCTAAAGTATGAAATTATAAATATTTGTTTGAAATTTATTGTTGTCTCTTTATTAGTGTATATCACAACAAAAATAATTGTATTTTTGTATATCACAGTATATAACACACCATCGCATGCTTATTTCCTTCTTTGTGTATTAATATATATCAAAGATTTTTTAGAGTTTTAAGGATATAGCGAGAGAACCATTCTCAAAGACATCATACGAAGTTTTCATTTTTGCATACAACTCGTGGAAAAAGATGAATAATTCTTCAGTTAAAGGGAAGTGGAAAAAATCTGCAAATGCAAAAAGTGCTTTACAGATCACAAAATCTATTGTGAGTGAACTTGATGGGGAGGAAATTGATGAGAATAGTGATACAGATAGTGGAGGAAAAATGATTGATGCCATTTAATCTTCCGGGACTATGTCCACATATGAAATCCCATCTCAAGAAGAACTTATTCGGCGTACTTTTGCTGGTGATATATTGAAGATGACTTTGAGAGAGAATATATAGAGAAGTAGTTTATTTTTGGGATTGGGTATATAATGCCAATTTGGTGTCCTTAACTTCATAAATGCTGTGTAAATATTAAGGACAAAGTGTCTTGTATTTGCACCTTCCGTTGTTAAATTTTAGGACATCATGTCCTTAATTTTATATGAGCAGTGTAAATGTTAAGAACGCGGCGTACTTAACTTCATGTGTACAGTGTAAATATTAAGTATACCATATCCTTAATATTTATACAGCACTCATGAAAAAAGGGTAACGTCTTTTTTGTATTAATTTTAATAGAATAGTGGCTATTTTTGCTCAGCATTAAAAAATACTAGATAAAAACTAAATACCATATTAAAAAGTGGCTATCCTACGCCATTTCTACCAAATATGGCGTAGATGGGCCTGCCGGCCTGGACCGAACTGGGCTTAACATCAAGATGGGTCTCAATTCAGCCTGCAAGTTGAGTTTGATGTTGAATTGCTCTTTTTGTTCCTTTCCCTTCTCTTTCTATAGACTTTCTCCAATTCCACAACGCATGTGTAATGGGCTGATCCTGACGGATATGAGTGGAACAACAAGACTCACACAGTCTCGATCCACTTGAAAAGGTTTTCTATTAAATCCACTAACAAGAGCATTATAGACATTGCTATCAAGTCAATATTAGACTTGGTGAAAATTCTAGGTCCATTTTGAATTGCAAAAGTTGGAAACTTCACACTTTCTTTGTTCCATCTTTTCTTAGTGGTGTAATGTGGAAATTTTGCACAACTATACCGACCATATATCTGTAAAACGTCTTGCTCTATTTACTTTCTTTTCCATACTAAGAATTTCAAGTCTTGTCGCGCATTTATCCATAAGAATCATTCATTCATTACTTTAAGAAGTAAGTTTGTATATTGACTTTATGCTAGTATATGTTTTGGTAATGAAAGTGGAGTAAGCTTAATTTTCTTCATTTAGCAGACAAGCAAGAGAAGAAGAGAGGTGCTATTGGGCTTCTTTTTGGTAAAAGTATATTTGGAGGACGAAATTATTACATTTTGGAAATGAATAGTTAAAAGAGAGGATGGTGGTGTAATCAAAGAAATGAGTGATTATAGTCACGAATTGAATTTGTGTACATAGCATGAGGGACATCATAATCTAAGAAGAAGCTGGACATGGTCCAATCAAAGGATGAGATTCGATGATGCTCCAAAGGGCAAAATTTTCATTTTTTATAATTTCATCTTTCCGACCTCTTAGCTTATAAAACTTTTTAATAAAACAAAGAAAGCTGACCATGCCCCACAGACAATCATTGCTAGACACAATTACCTTTAAGCTTCATCTTAATTACTTGTACTCTATTCTTTTTTAAACTTCTTTCTGCTAATTTAAATTTAAATTAACTAATTAAAAAGATATGACCTATACAATCGACCCTAGATTATGCATGCATTTAATATATGACCTATGCCTAATATCATATTTTCAACCCACCAAGAAAGAAAAATACAAAACAACCACCAATCCATTCTTTATCATGATTCTCTTCACTTCTTTTCATGTATATGTTTCAGTGGACTGCTCTTTTAACTATCATTCAGCTTTCCAAATATTCCCACGAATTGATGCTTTGATGTTATTCTTGCAATTTAGAATAATTCAATCTTTTAGGATCTTTTATCCAATCCACAACATGTTCTTTCTTCATTCTGCTTTTCGTTTTATCTTTATTTTTTCTTTATTTTTCCAATTTATATATGACAAGATCAACATCCATTTAAAACGTTGTTGAAAAGAAAACAAAATTAGAAATATCAAAAGAATCACAATATACACAACCAATTCTCAAGCAGGTAATTTTAAACTTTGCTGTAACCATATTACTAATAGTATCACTCTTGCTGTTGAAGGGACCTGTAAAAGAGATTTCATCTTACGAAAAAGAGAATACTTATGACCAAAATATTGCCCCCTAATCCCAATACTTAGTTCCTTAGGGATAATTCAGAGTTTGAAAGGTCAAAATTCTTACTACTTTGTCACGTTTGAACAATCTTCGCCTCCTTATTAACTATGTCAAGGAATAATCACAATAGTTAGTCATACTAAACTTTGAGCCGATATTCTATAAACCATACATGTCCCCCAATTTTTATTAATTTCTCCCTCTTATTCTTATTATATATATATATGACTTGAATCGTATCACTAATCGTGAAATAATTAATCGTCTAAAAGCTTCATTTTTTTTCCTTCCTATTTCCATTATATAGATGTATAAAGTGGTAATGAGACTCGAGCCAACGCTTGTTACTTGAAATATTCCTATTGGTACAATTAGGATATAAGTCGTGAAAATCTATGCCTAAGTCTTAAAATGGGATAAGATTGGGACGGAAAGGTTAAGAAGAACCTTTAGACTACTAGGAAGTCTCTTCACTTTTATTTTCAAGTCAAGGAAATACAGCAAAGTAATGACTAAGGTAGAAATGATTTTCTTTTTCTTCTTATGTAATGGCATGATTAATGAAAGTAATATAAATTAAATTAGACTTAGGAGAGTTGATCTAATTCGATGAAACATTCTTTCTGTAATCATCATTTTCAAGATAGTGCTAAAGACTTAATTTGAGACTTAAAGTGTACCTTTGGTTCTTGTTGTTGGGTAATTATGAGAGGGATAAAATAATGTTGATCAAACACATTATTTAGGATTATGGTCCCTTCTTAATTGGACCCTGGGTGCCACAAATGGCACATGCTCCTTTTAGGCTACTGTTTTAATTATGTTCCTATGTTAAAGGTGAGGGAATTATGAGAAACGTTTAGAGACTATTTACGCGGCGCAACTACGGTTTTCATATTTACTACTCTTAGCAAAATATGTGTGGATAGTAGCTTGTATTTTCTGTATTCGTGTGCGCACTTAAGATTGTGTTCATTGTACTCATTCGCGCAACGAATATAACTTGTGTCAATTGTATTCATTTGCGCAACTAATACAACATGTATCATTGTATTCGTTTGCACAACGAATACAACCAAAGGCAAAATACAGTGGTGTATACACAAACACAAACAATGAAAAATACATTCCATATTTAAACCAATATTCATATATGATCCATACGTTGAGGGATACATACAACCTATGAGAGGCTGGATACAGTCAATACAGTCTATGAAAGACTGGATACGAGTTAGAAAAATACATTCAATGTGTGAAAACCAGAATGCGATTATCAAATAGCTCAATCATACAATGTACCGAAAAGCAATAACATTAATAAATAAAATCAAATATAGTCAAATACCGCTATATTGTTAACCATACACCGTATAAAAAACATCAAAAATAAAATTGTGAAGTATCACTGCCGCAAAGTCATCAGAAAATACATTGTATCAAAATGTATCCAAAATAGAATTTTGCATGTTCGAAGTCAACGAGTCATCAAGAGAAGCCACATACACCAGAATATAGAATTACAAATAATGAAAAATATATTGTGTACAAGCTGTATTCACTTGTATAATAGGATTTAAGCTGTATCCAAAATAGAATTTTTCAAGTCCGAAGATGACTCAGATCTATGAAAAGAAGAGAATCTCAAATGGAGAAGACGACCCAGATCACCGCGAGGAATTCCAAAGCAATAGAATCTGCTCGAATATAAATTGATTTGCTATGCCGAAGCATTTGGCAGCGATTTGTAAGAGTAATTCCTGGGGAATAAATGAAACATTTAGCCGGGTAATTCAACAGTAATTTTATCATCGACTATTCCATTTTCGATTGCATCTTTATCGGGCGGCAGAATTGGT